AAACCCACCAGCCACTCCTCAGAAGGAAGGTTGGGCAATCTACTTCTGTAGTGATATCATCTTGGAAACCCAAGGAGGGGTCACTGTGAGTGGTATCCAACTTGATAGCAGGGCGTTTTTGTTTTTTGGGGCTGCTCTGCAGGTGCTTTCAGGGTGATGGAGAGATGGCACACACTCAAGGGCATACATTTCAGGGAAGAGAAACCTTTGGACCAATGCTAAAAAGTGACTGGAATGGACAGATCAAACAAGGAGGGCTTCCTGGAGGGGAAGGAAAGTTTTGTCAACTAATGAGAAAGATGGGCACATAGATTCCTGGAGAGAAAATTTAAATCACACCATTATAGTTGGTTTAGACTCAGGTTTTGTGTGTTTATTGTGGTGAGGGTGTGGGAGGTCTCAGATTTTTTTAAAGTGAGTAGTGGGGCTGGATGGGAGCTCTGATGATGTAACAGTTAAACAACTGGCTGGGCTGTTAACGAAAAGGTTGGCAGTTGGAACACATCCAGTGGCTCTCAGAAGAAAGACCTAGCAATCTACTTCCATAAAGATTACAGCCAAGAAAACCCTATGGAGCAATTCAACTCTGTTATATGACTCCACTGTCACTATGACTCCGTGGCATTCAACGCCAATAGCAACAGGTCAGCTTTTCAATCAGTATTGTGTTCCAGGTCTGTGTGTGGAGGATCTTCACCCGTACAGCCCTCAGGGCAAATGGGTATGGTCTTGGAGGGTAGGGTCTCAGAGGGCAGCACCTTGGGCCCAAAGCAATCACCTCTATTTATCTCACCATGCCATACAGTTGTTAAGAAGTTCCTCTTCTATGTGTGTCAGGATGCAATAAACCTTGGGAGGTACAAGAGCCTATGAATCTAGAATCATAGTCTGTTGGGCTTTCTGCTTCAAAGATCCCCTCAGAGGTCACTGCTGTCATCACTGTGGGTATTAGAAATAAAGCCCTGGGAGTTATTGGGGTTCTGTTCCTGCCCTGCCCGAGCCAGTCACTGTTACACTCAGACTAGAACCATTGGTTCTAAACCTTGTGGGTCATGGACCTCTCTGAAATCTGATGAAAGCCATAGATGCTTTCCCCTGAATAGTGTACAGAGTTATTGTGCATGTTCAGAGGCTCATGCCTGAAGCCCAACATTGGACTTCTTAGGCTGTGGGTCTCAGATTAAGAGCCCCTGGACCAGATGGCCCCTGACACCCTTCCCAGTGCTGATGCCTTTCCCAAAAGACCAAGAGAATTCCCAAAAGGGGTTGAGGTGGAGGGGTGAAGAAAACACAAACTATTTGTGAAATCACTCCCTCCAAGGTCACTGAGCAGGTGTGTCACTGACTTCTGGAGTCATCAGCCCTGGCTTTGCTGGGCTATGAGGCTTGAGTGCTAGATGCTAGGTGAAGGGCCCCAGAGGCCAACTGGATTTGCTACTGAGGGGACAGAGATAAGGTGCCTTGGCTGGGGTGTTGAGGAAGGCAGAGAGAGCAATCAAGGATCCATTCTGATGTCATCCTGTCCTGGCTGCAACTTACCTACTTGAGAAGTGGAGAGATCATTTGTCATCTGGGACTTAATTAAGCACAGGGGTGAATGTGCTCTTGCTTTAGGACCAAGTCTGGAGATTCCTTTGAAGCTCAAGAGGGGAAATCACGAAGATAGAACTAGAGGTGATTGTTAACTTCAGTTTCATAGGTCAGAGTTCAGGACATGGTCAAGATACTAGAATGGACAGGTGAATGGGAGGAGGACCCATCTCATCATGGAAGGCTTTGGTTGGTGAGCAGCCCAGGAGTGGGAGGGAGCATCACACCATCAGGGAGGGAAAAATATCTGGTTCAGTTGCTCTGTGTGACCTCCATTGAAGTTCTGTCTAAGGTGTGAGTCATTTGGCTGGTGATGCTCATGCTCATGTGGTCACTTCACGTGGCTTATCATTTCCATTCACGACTCCCTTTGAAATTTCATTCTGGTGCTCACTCCTACTGGAAGTCTTCCTGGGGCCCCAGGCTTGGTGGAGTACCCATCTTCTGGGTTCCTGCAGCACCCAGTGCCCACGTCCACCATGGTACTTCCTCATGTAATTGAGGTGGTCTTTCTGTGAGCCTGGTTTCATCACCAGACTGGGGCTCCCCAAGGGCAAGGGTAGCCTTATTTCTCTCTGGGCTTAGCAACTGATAGATACTTAAGGGAGGTTCACCTAATAGAGACACCAAGAAGATGACGTTTTTATGATCCTTCTTTCCAGCACAAATATGTTTAAAAGTTGTTTGGGGTAGCAGAGAAGAGACCAGAGAAACCATATTCCTGGACTTTGCTCCCAGCCTTTCCCAATATACAGGAAGCAGCACCAGGTATAAAGATAGAAAGAGCTTTCTGGAGCCAACAAGGGAGTGGAGAGAACTTATGTTCCATTTGACTGGCCAAGAGTAAGCCTGGGGAACTTGGACCTTGAGGAAGATGCCCTCTTTTTGGCTGAATAATATTCCATTGCATGTATATACCATATATTGTATATCCATTCATCTGTTGATGGACACTTGAGCTATTTTCACCTTTTGGCTATTGAGAAGAATACTACAATGAACAGCGGTGTACAAGTAACTATTTGATTCCTGATTTCAAATATTTTGTGTATATACCTAGGATGGGGATTGAAGCTCTGGTGGTGGAGTGCCCAAGGCATTTGACTGCTAACCAGAAGGCTGGAGGTTCAAACCCACCAGCCACTCCTCAGAAGGAAGATTGGGCAATCTACTTCTGTAGCAATACTGCCTCGGAAACCCAAGGAGGGTTTGCTATGAGTCGGATCCCGCTCTATGGCAGTGAGTTTGGTCTTTTTTTTTAAATGATAATTTTGTGTTTAACTTTTTGGGGAACTGCCAAACAGTTTTCCATGGTTGCTGTTATGGATTGAATTACCGCCTTCCAAAATATGTGTTGTAGTTCCTAACCTCTGTGCCTGTGATTAAAATCCCATTTGAGAATAAATTGTCTTTGTTATGTTAATGAGACAGGATTAGTGTAGGGTGTATCTTGAGTCAATCTCTTTTGACATATAGAAGAGATTAAGCAAGTGAGCAGAGCAGAGATGTGGGAAGAGAGATACCAAGCCACACGAAGATATCCCAGGAGCAGAAGCTCAATGAGACAAAGACTTTCCTCCAGAGCCAACAAAGAAATCCTTCACCTAGAGGGGGCCTCCTGAATTTGGATTTC